GCAAATGTGCTGTATTCTGTTGAGGCTTCGAAACAATCCGACACCTGTCTCCATGGTGACCGCTAGTGGTCAGACCAGTGTAATTGCAACATAAACTCGGGCCAAACATCCATAAAAACCCCTTTTACAAATGTATTGCAAATGTTTTATTGAAAGTAAAATATTTCAAATGTAATTATCTAATCCTCTAACAAGATTATTAAGTATTATGTTATTTTATCAATCATCATGATGTTGTATTTCATAGTTGGTGTGTGTGTGTGTGTGTGTGTGCGCGTGCGAGTTTGTGTGAATCAGACAGATTTGCTTCGGATATTTGTAATGTTGTATTTCAGTTATTGCTGTGTGTGTTTGTCAGAATGTGTAAGTATATAATAGATTTGGTATGAAGTAGAAATAAATAAATAAATAAACCAGAAAATGCATTCATTTTAGTAATTGAATAGTTGAAATAAAGTCATAGTTTTTGTTGTTTTTTGCACACAAAAAGTGTTCTCATTGTTTGATAAACTAAGATTGAGCCACTGTAGTCACTTGGACTATTTTAACGATGTCTTTAAAAACTTTTCGAGGCCAGCAAGTTTCAGTTCCTCAAGAAGCCTATATGTACTAGTATGCAGGAGTGATCCAGCTCTCAGATTTCATCAAAAATATCTTAATTCATGTTCTGAAGATGAACAAAGGTCTTACGGGGTTGGAACAACATGAGGGTGAGTAAATACTGACAGAATTTTCATTTTTGGGTGAACAAGCCCTTTAAATATTGCCTGTAAAGCTCTGCATTGTATATTCCAGTGATGAATAGAGATGGATAGAGTCCTCACTGCAGAACACAAAATCACCTTGTGTATACCTAAACCTACCCATCTCCGCCCCCTGATCCCTAAACCTACCCATCTCCACCCCTTAGATCTTGATCCAACTCCACCCCTTGGATCTTTTTTACTACAATGAGGTGCTACTGGATGGATACAACAACATTCTTATAATGAACAATAGCTTTTATTTATTTTTAACTAGAAATTTTAAAACATTCACAGTGAATTTGTGGAAACATTTCAGTAGGGAGCCATATATTATATTAGATGAAGATAAAGTACATAGAGTGTATAAAAACGTGATCAACACATTCTACATATGTCCCTTAACATTAACTGTACGAGGAAATAAATTGTTTATTTGGAAAACAAGATCATCATCAATTTAAAAGACAGAATTTTCAAATAAATAAAATATCTTAAATAACAGTTTTAAAACAGTTGCAAAGGTCCTGTTTGCCCAGCAATACAGGAAAAAGAATGTATATTTCAAGTGTCAATGTTTTCATCTTGAATATCTCTAGAAGAGACTGTTTCGAGTGGTGTACTGTATGTTGTACGACTGTCTTCTGTGCCAACGTCTTCTGACTGCTGCACAGCATCCACAGAGTAAACACTAAAGACATAAACAGACAAAATGTTAACATCCTCAGAGAGAACACTTTACACTTTAAAAAAAAATGTAATTCAGCTAGACAATTCTAAACCTCATTTAAAAGGCAGATATATGGATAATACATCCCTGCTGTAATGAATCACTTCACTATGCACATATTTGACATTCAAACATCATAAAACTTACGCAAAGCAGAATCCAGCAAGGTATAAGCCCGAGGACAATAGCCACAGGGACAATGATCGCCACAATCCATGCTGCGTTTGTGCCGTTGTTTGAGGTTGTAGTGTTTACAACTGTAGGGAGAACTGTGGTTGGAGAAGGTGTGGCGAGAAAAAGGGAGACCAAGGCAAAACTGCTGATATCATCATCCGAAAAAACATACACAACGTTGGCCTCAATCACGCTGGAATTACTCCTGTGGAGAGATAAAAATGTACAATGAGAAATGAAATATAAATAAAGAAAATAAATGAACTGAATTTACAGTACATCTTCCCTCACCCATGCACCAAAAGCCACCCACTGATATAAACAGATCTCTTAAGAATTCCTGCTCGAAATAAAGTAAAAAAAATCACAAAACAAGAACTTACTTGAATTTGACATTATTGAAATTAAACTGAGTAGTTGTTGTTTTATTTAGGATCCTGGACACCTGAAGAGAGCAGAAATAAACAGAGATTCATTTGTTTAATCAAGTTATTGCCATTAAAATAAAGCAATTTTAAGTTCAGGGCCAGTTTTTTGGAAGTGTTTCTAACTCACGAATGTGTTTATATAGGTCTCGATCACTGAGTAGGTTTCATTCCTGAAATCAACTTTCTCAGACATGGATACATTGCTGATTTCAAATCCAAAGTTCAGAGAGAAGGAGGTTTTGTTGATTTCTTGTGGGGAAAAAAACAACAACAATAATTATGTAACAATTATGGTTATATGTGGCTGATAAAATTTCACTTCTTCATTAATTATTAGGGCACAACAAAGGAACGCAAACTTACCATTATAGGTGACATTCACAGAGCTCACAAGGTCATTCAGTTGTCTTTCTGTGAGGTCTCGATTATTAATTTTTAGTTTCATTCCAATTAACAGAGAGTTAGTCAGTTGAAGAACCATACTCTTACTTGGTAAAGTGCCCCGTGTATTAAATACAAGGCTAACATATATAACCACCTTCCCAAGCCTGCAAAAGATGGCACATTCATTTATTTAGATGATTTATTCCATGTCACCATCTATAGTTTTTTTCATGGCAACAAAAAGGTAAAATCCATTCAATACAATATGTTTAACAGTAAGTGTTACAGGAGTGGCAAGATGGAAATTTGCAAAAGAAAATGAGAAATGTAACTGGCATTGCAATTATTGCTCTTACAATGTCGCTGGAGAGGTTGCGCTTGTCGTTATAGTGCTGGCGGTCGTTAAGTCTGTCAAATAAAGGTCTAATTAGTGGAGGAAATCATGCTTTAAATTACAGTATTTGGTGTTTGTGGATAAATGTATTTAAAACATGGCATGGCAGGTGTGGATGTGGTAATACCGCTATTGATTTTGAGAAGTTCCATGACAAAGGTGCTGTTTGTGTTCAAGTTACTTTCTGAGAAAACATATGAAACATTGGCCTGAACCATGGTGTTACCATTCCTGTGGGAAGAATAAAACATGAAATGAATATCAAAAGCATACAACCTTTTCTCACAAGCCACCTACTTGCATTCAAAAAACAGCTGCTGACAAATACAGATTGAGACAGTTTTGCTCAAAATAAAGTAAAGAAAACATTCAGAACTTACTGGAAATCAATTTGGCTGATATTAAACTGAGGAGCTGAGGGGTCATTTAGGATCTTAGTAATCTGAAAAGTGGAGTAATAAATATAGAAATTAATGAATTTATTAAGGATAGAATAAGGCATATTCATTTTCAGGTCAAGTTTCTCAGAAGAAAAAAGAAAAAACTGTATCAAAGTGTCTCCAACTCACCAACTGGTTTATAGAGTTTTGGATTGAAATGTATGTATCATTCCTGAGTTGAATTTTCTCTGACATGGATACATTGCTGATTTCAAATCCAAATTGGAGAGCATATGAGGTCTCATTAATTCCTTAAAAATATATTTAAAAAAAATTAGTTGTGTGGTTATATGTTGAGTGGTAAAACACATTAAGTACACATTCATTTACAGAAGGGTATAATTGACTGACACATGTATTATTTTCCCTGAAAGAAAGCTATTGTTACAGGTCTACACTTTTTACATTATTTGCAATAAAATGTCAAATTTAGAACAAAAAGCAGCCTACAGTGGAGAGAAATACTCACTTATAAAGGTGACATTATAGTTTGACACATCTGACACATCAGTTTGTGTTGAGCCATCTTTAGTGCTTATACGTGGTTTGATCAAAGAGTTGACCAGTTGTAGAACACTAGCCTCACTCGGTATTGAACCCAGTGTTTTAAACACAAGGACAATATTTATATAAACCTTCCCCATCCTTCAACAAATGATAAAAAAACAGGAATGTAAAACCATTCGGACAACAACGGGCTTTTAGGAAATTGAACTGGAATACTTGCTCTTACAAACTACGTGGAGCAGTTGTGCTTGTCAGAGTGGTGGCTGTCGTGAAGACTGTAAAATAAAGTAATGATTAGTTGAGGATGCTTGCGGTTGCACAATTTGGTGTCAGTGGAGCAATTCATTGTGAGTTTTGACATACCCATCAGTGAATGAAGCTCCTTTAGGTAGCTGACTGGTTGAATGACATCTCCATCCTGGAAGGTGTATTCCATACTACCATCAATCTGGTTTGAAGAGCTCCTGTGGGACAAACAGAAGATTACTGTTACGGACATCAATTGTAAAATGCACCTATTTTATATATTGCTTTAAAATCTAAAAATGTGAGAGCAAATAATATAGAATAAGTCAGTTCCCATCTTACGTGAAAACAGATGACATGGGTTTTAAAGTCTGTCTGCTTGGTTCATTCAGAAGAGTGTTCAGCTGCAGGTAAAAATCAATTATTTTATTAAAATCTGGGGTAGATTTGCATCGGATCAAAACATCTAAATGGGTAAATGGTGATTTCTTACCTCATGATTGATAATATCCTGTACTTGCAGGTAGGTGTTGTTTCTAAGGCCAGAGTCCCTTGGCATGATGTGACTCATATTAAACTTAAAGATCACCACATAGGATGTTTCTGAAATTTCTGTTTATAAAGAAATGGTTTAGATTGGCTTTGAGCATGACATTCGCTTTTCTCTCATTTCCATTTAAAATCATTTCAACTTTAAATGATGAAACTTACTCTGATAGGTGAAATTCACCATCTTCACTGATTCATTCAGCTGTGATTTTCTGGATGTCAGGAGAGAGTTGATAGCACTGAGGACCAGAGTTTCACTGGGGACTGGAGATGAGGAGTTGAACAGCAGCTTGCTCGTGACCACTGCTGAACCAAATCTGTAAAAACAACAACTTTTGTTTAGTATATTTCACATTTGTACAATGAAATTATTGTGAGCTCTCAAAATGGAAAGTCAACACTAACGTTAGGTTTGGAGGAGCCAGAGAGGACCCAGTTGTTGATTCTGGAGACACTGTTGTAGTGATCACTTCAGCAATTACAAATGTAAAAACAAACAATTAGTCTTTTGTGATTTACAGAAACATATTTTTTTTTTTCGTCTTTTAGAATGTTGTATAGCCATAGATCATCATAACTGACATACCTATCTGTGAATGAAGCTCCTTTAGGTAGCTGACTGGTTGAATGACATCTCTATCCTGAAAGGTGTATTCCATACTGCCATTAATCTTGTTTGAAGAGCTCCTGTGGGACAAAGAGAAGATGTTAAATTCATATTGAAAAAGTTTTGACTTTGTGTGTTTTTAATTTCCCATTGCTTTAATAAATTAAAATGTGACAACAGATAAAATAAAGTTTGCATCTTACACAAAGTTGGATGAATTGGCTTTCAATGGTAGACTGGTCGGTTCATTCAGAAGAGTGTTCAGCTGCAGGTGAAAATCAAATAATTCATTAAATTTCATTTAAGGATTTATACTAGACTCAGAAACATTGATTAATTTAATTCTGATTTCTTACTGCATTATTGATGACATCTTGCACTTGCACATAAGTGCTGTTTCTGAGCTCAGGGTCTTCAGACATGCTGATGTTACTCAGTTTAAACGTGAAGACGACAGCATAGGAGGTTTCTGAGATTTCTGTTTGGAGAGAGATGTGAAATTTTTTTGGTTAAAAGATTTCCATTCATGAATCTTTGACTGAATACCGTTTCCAAAGCATTTCAACCTTAAATGATGAAACTTACTTTGATAGGTGAAATTCGCCACCTCCACTGATTCATTGAGCTGTGACTGTCTGGATGTCAGGAGAGTGTTGAGAGCACTGAGGACAAGAGTTTCACTGGGGACTGGAGATGAGGAGTTGAACAGCAGCTTGCTTGTGACCACTGCTGAACCAGATCTGTAAAGAGTACCGCTTTTCATTAATATAGTTCCTTTTTTTATGATAATTTTAGTGCCCGATAAAAGGTTGCAAATAGTTTTGTCAATAGAAAATTAACACTTGCATTGGGCTTGGAGAAGTTGAGGGGACACTGGTTATTTTATCTGAAGACACTGTTGTAGTGGTCAGTTCTACAATGAAAGGCAGAAACACAATAAATCTCAGAGTCAGAGCAAAAAGATTTTTCATTCCTATAGATATATATATATATATATATATATATCGTGAGCTTTGACATACCCATCTGTGAACGAAGCTCATTTAGGAAGCTGACTGGTTTAATGGCATCTCCATCCTGAAAGATGTATATCATATTGCCATTAATCTGGTTAGAAGATCTCCTGCAGGAAAAATTTAAAAAAGATATTTGGACAGAGTTTTAATTTATTTGTGCAATACAGATTTATTGAAACATTCAAGCAAATGTAATTATTTTTACTTTTTTGCCTTTTTAACGTTCTGAAATCGAAAACTGAACATAATGAATCAATAATTAGATTCCAAGATAGAAGTAAGATCGCATCTCACGTGAAGTTGGAGGACTTGGGTTCAAAAACATGTTTCCCAGGTTCATTCAGAAGAGCGTTCAGCTGCAGGAAAAAACAACAAACCATTCATCAAACTCTGTCAAAGATTGGCATTGGAACTAAATCTATTTAGAGAGTTCATTTGTATATCTTTACCGCATTATTGATAATATCCTGCAATCTCTGGTCGGTGTTGCCTCTGACATCAGAATCTGCTGGCATGCTGATGTTAATCAGGCTGAATGTAAAGACAACAGCATAGGAGGTTTCTGAGATTTCTGTTTGGAGAGAGATGTGAAATTTTTTTGGTTAAAAGATTTCCATTCATGAATCTTTGACTAAATACTGTTTCCAAAGCATTTCAACCTTAAATGATGAAACTTACTCTGATAGGTGAAATTCGCCACCTCCACTGATTCATTGAGCTGTGACCGTCTGGATGTCAGGAGAGTGTTGATAGCACTGAGGACCAGAGTTTCACTGGGGACTGGAGATGAGGAGTTGAACAACAGCTTGCTTGTGACCACTGCTGAACCAGATCTGTAAAAACAACAACTTTTGTTTAGTATATTTCACATTTGTACAATGAAATTATTGTGAGCTCTCAAAATGGAAAGTCAACACTAACGTTAGGTTTGGAGGAGCCAGAGAGGACCCAGTTGTTGATTCTGGAGACACTGTAGTAGTGATTGCTTCAACAATTAAATGTAATAACAAACAATTAGTCTTTTGTGATTTACAGAAACATATTTTTTTTTTTCGTCTTTTAGAATGTTGTATAGCCATAGATCATCATAACTGACATACCTATCTGTGAATGAAGCTCCTTTAGGTAGCTGACTGGTTGAATGACATCTCTATCCTGAAAGGTGTATTCCATACTGCCATTAATCTGGTTTGAAGAGCTCCTGTGGGACAAAGAGAAGATGTTAAATTCATATTGAAAAGGTTTTGACTTTTTTGTGTGTTTTTAATTTCCCATCGATTTAATAAATTAAAATGTGACAACAGATAAAATAAAGTTTGCATCTTACACAAAGTTGAATGAATTGGCTCTCAATGGTGGACTGGTCGGTTCATTCAGAAGAGTGTTCAGCTGCAGGTGAAAATCAAATAATTCATTAAATTTCATTTAAGGATTTATACTAGACTCAGAAACATTGATTAATTTAATTCTGATTTCTTACTGCATTATTGATGACATCTTGCACTTGCACATAAGTGCTGTTTCTGAGCTCAGGGTCTTCAGACATGCTGATGTTACTCAGTTTAAACGTGAAGACGACAGCATAGGAGGTTTCTGAGATTTCTGTTTGGAGAGAGATGTGAAATTTTTTTGGTTAAAAGATTTCCATTCATGAATCTTTGACTGAATACCGTTTCCAAAGCATTTCAACCTTAAATGATGAAACTTACTTTGATAGGTGAAATTCGCCACCTCCACTGATTCATTGAGCTGTGACCGTCTGGATGTCAGGAGAGTGTTGATAGCACTGAGGACAAGAGTTTCACTGGGGACTGGAGATGAGGAGTTGAACAACAGCTTGCTTGTGACCACTGCTGAACCAGATCTGTAAAGAGTATCGCTTTTCATTAATATAGTTCCTTTTTTTATGATAATTTTAGTGCCCGATAAAAGGTTGCAAATAGTTTTGTCAATAGAAAATTAACACTTGCATTGGGCTTGGAGAAGTTGAGGGGACACTGGTTATTTTATCTGAAGACACTGTTGTAGTGGTCAGTTCTACAATGAAAGGCAGAAACACAATAAATCTCAGAGTCAGAGCAAAAAGATTTTTCATTCCTATAGATATATATATCGTGAGCTTTGACATACCCATCTGTGAACGAAGCTCATTTAGGAAGCTGACTGGTTTAATGGCATCTCCATCCTGAAAGGTGTATTCCATATTGCCATTAATCTGGTTAGAAGATCTCCTGCAGGAAAAATTTAAAAAAGATATTTGGACAGAGTTTTAATTTATTTGTGCAATACAGATTTATTGAAACATTCAAGCAAATGTAATTATTTTTACTTTTTTGCCTTTTTAACGTTCTGAAATCGAAAACTGAACATAATGAATCAATAATTAGATTCCAAGATAGAAGTAAGATCGCATCTCACGTGAAGTTGGAGGACTTGGGTTCAAAAACATGTTTCCCAGGTTCATTCAGAAGAGCGTTCAGCTGCAGGAAAAAACAACAAACCATTCATCAAACTCTGTCAAAGATTGGCATTGGAACTAAATCTATTTAGAGAGTTCATTTGTATATCTTTACCGCATTATTGATAATATCCTGCAATCTCTGGTCGGTGTTGCCTCTGACATCAGAATCTGCTGGCATGCTGATGTTAATCAGGCTGAATGTAAAGACAACAGCATAGGAGGTTTCTGAGATTTCTGTTTGGAGAGAGATGTGAAATTTTTTTGGTTAAAAGATTTCCATTCATGAATCTTTGACTAAATACTGTTTCCAAAGCATTTCAACCTTAAATGATGAAACTTACTCTGATAGGTGAAATTCGCCACCTCCACTGATTCATTGAGCTGTGACCGTCTGGATGTCAGGAGAGTGTTGATAGCACTGAGGACCAGAGTTTCACTGGGGACTGGAGATGAGGAGTTGAACAACAGCTTGCTCGTGACCACTGCTGAACCAGATCTGTAAAAACAACAACTTTTGTTTAGTATATTTCACATTTGTACAATGAAATTATTGTGAGCTCTCAAAATGGAAAGTCAACACTAACGTTAGGTTTGGAGGAGCCAGCGAGGACCCAGTTGTTGATTCTGGAGACACTGTTGTAGTGATCACTTCAGCAATTAAATGTAAAAACAAACAATTAGTCTTTTGTGATTTACAGAAACATATTTTTTTTTTTCGTCTTTTAGAATGTTGTATAGCCATAGATCATCGTAATTGACATACCTATCTGTGAATGAAGCTCCTTTAGGTAGCTGACTGGTTGAATGACATCTCTATCCTGAAAGGTGTATTCCATACTGCCATTAATCTGGTTTGAAGAGCTCCTGTGGGACAAAGAGAAGATGTTAAATTCATATTGAAAAGGTTTTGACTTTTTTGTGTGTTTTTAATTTCCCATTGCTTTAATAAATTAAAATGTGACAACAGATAAAATAAAGTTTGTATCTTACACAAAGTTGAATGAATTGGCTCTCAATGGTGGGCTGGTCGGTTCATTCAGAAGAGTGTTCAGCTGCAGGTGAAAATCAAATAATTCATTAAATTTCATTTAAGGATTTATACTGGACTCAGAAACATTGATTAATTTAATTCTGATTTCTTACTGCATTATTAATGACATCTTGCACTTGCACATAAGTGCTGTTTCTGAGCTCAGGGTCTTCAGACATGCTGATGTTCCTTAGTTTAAACGTAAAGACGACAGCATAGGAGGTTTCTGAGATTTCTGTTTGGAGAGAGATGTGAAATTTTTTTGGTTAAAAGATTTCCATTCATGAATCTTTGACTAAATACCGTTTCCAAAGCATTTCAACCCTAAATGATGAAACTTACTTTGATAGGTGAAATTCGCCACCTCCACTGATTCATTGAGCTGTGACTGTCTGGATGTCAGGAGAGTGTTGAGAGCACTGAGGACCAGAGTTTCACTGGGGACTGGAGATGAGGAGTTGAACAACAGCTTGCTTGTGACCACTGATGAACCAGATCTGTAAAGAGTACCGCTTTTCATTAATATAGTTCCTTTTTTTATCATAATTTTAGTGCCCGATAAAAGGTTGCAAATAGTTTTGTCAATAGAAAATTAACACTTGCATTGGGCTTGGAGAAGTTGAGGGGACACTGGTTATTTTATCTGAAGACACTGTTGTAGTGGTCAGTTCTACAATGAAAGGCAGAAACACAATAAATCTCAGAGTCAGAGCAAAAAGATTTTTCATTCCTATAGATATATATATATATATATATATATCGTGAGCTTTGACATACCCATCTGTGAACGAAGCTCATTAAGGAAGCTGACTGGTTGAATGGCATCTCCATCCTGGAAGGTGTATTCCATATTGCCATTAATCTGGTTAGAAGATCTCCTGCGGGAAAAAATTAAAAAAGATATTTGGACAGAGTTTTAATTTATTTGTGCAATACAGATTTATTGAAACATTCAAGCAAATGTAATTATTTTTACTTTTTTGCTTTTTTAACGTTCTGAAATCGAAAACTGAACATAATGAATCTATAATTAGATTCCAAGATAGAAGTAAGATCGCATCTCACGTGAAGTTGGAGGACTTGGGTTCAAAAACATGTTTCCCAGGTTCATTCAGAAGAGCGTTCAGCTGCAGGAAAAAACAACAAACCATTCATCAAACTCTGTCAAAGATTGGCATTGGAACTAAATCTATTTACAGTGTTCATTTGTATATCTTTACCGCATTATTGATAATATCCTGCAATCTCTGGTCGGTGTTGCCTCTGACATCAGAATCTGCTGGCATGCTGATGTTAATCAGGCTGAATGTAAAGACAACAGCATAGGAGGTTTCTGAGATTTCTGTTTGGAGAGAGATGTGAAATTTTTCTGGTTAAAAGATTTCCATTCATGAATCTTTGACTAAATACCGTTTACAAAGCATTTCAACCTTAAATGAAGAAACTTACTTTGATAGGTGAAATTCGCCAACTCCACTGATTCATTCAGCTGTGATTGTCTGGATGTCAGGAGAGTGTTGAGAGCACTGAGGACCAGAGATTCACTGGGGACTGGAGATGAGGAGTTGAACAACAGCTTGCTTGTGACCACTGCTGAACCAGATCTGTAAAAACAAAAACTTTTGTTTAGTATATTTCACATTTGTACAATGAAATTATTGTGAGCTCTCAAAATGGAAAGTCAACACTAACGTTAGGTTTGGAGGAGCCAGAGAGGACCCAGTTGTTGATTCTGGAGACACTGTAGTAGTGATTGCTTCAACAATTAAATGTAAAAACAAACAATTAGTCTTTTGTGATTTACAGAAACATATTTTTTTTTTCGTCTTTTAGAATGTTGTATAGCCATAGATCATCATAACTGACATACCTATCTGTGAATGAAGCTCCTTTAGGTAGCTGACTGGTTGAATGACATCTCTATCCTGAAAGGTGTATTCCATACTGCCATTAATCTGGTTTGAAGAGCTCCTGTGGGACAAAGAGAAGATGTTAAATTCATATTGAAAAGGTTTTGACTTTTTTGTGTGTTTTTAATTTCCCATTGCTTTAATAAATTAAAATGTGACAACAGATAAAATAAAGTTTGTATCTTACACAAAGTTGAATGAATTGGCTCTCAATGGTGGGCTGGTCGGTTCATTCAGAAGAGTGTTCAGCTGCAGGTGAAAATCAAATAATTCATTAAATTTCATTTAAGGATTTATACTGGACTCAGAAACATTGATTAATTTAATTCTGATTTCTTACTGCATTATTAATGACATCTTGCACTTGGACATAAGTGCTGTTTCTGAGCTCAGGGTCTTCAGACATGCTGATGTTCCTCAGTTTAAACGTAAAGACGACAGCATAGGAGGTTTCTGAGATTTCTGTTTGGAGAGAGATGTGACATTTTTTTGGTTAAAAGATTTCCATTCATGAATCTTTGACTGAATACCGTTTCCAAAGCATTTCAACCTTAAATGATGAAACTTACTTTGATAGGTGAAATTCGCCACCTCCACTGATTCATTGAGCTGTGACCGTCTGGATGTCAGGAGAGTGTTGATAGCACTGAGGACAAGAGTTTCACTGGGGACTGGAGATGAGGAGTTGAACAACAGCTTGCTTGTGACCACTGCTGAACCAGATCTGTAAAGAGTATCGCTTTTCATTAATATAGTTCCTTTTTTTATCATAATTTTAGTGCCCGATAAAAGGTTGCAAATAGTTTTGTCAATAGAAAATTAACACTTGCATTGGGCTTGGAGAAGTTGAGGGGACACTGGTTATTTTATCTGAAGACACTGTTGTAGTGGTCAGTTCTACAATGAAAGGCAGAAACACAATAAATCTCAGAGTCAGAGCAAAAAGATTTTTCATTCCTATAGATATATATATATATATATTGTGAGCTTTGACATACCCATCTGTGAACGAAGCTCATTAAGGAAGCTGACTGGTTTAATGGCATCTCCATCCTGAAAGGTGTATTCCATATTGCCATTAATCTGGTTAGAAGATCTCCTGCAGGAAAAATTTAAAAAAGATATTTGGACAGAGTTTCAATTTATTTGTGCAATACAGATTTATTGAAACATTCAAGCAAATGTAATTATTTTTACTTCTTTGCTTTTTTAACGTTCTGAAATCGAAAACTGAACATAATGAATCTATAATTAGATTCCAAGATAGAAGTAAGATCGCATCTCACGTGAAGTTGGAGGACTTGGGTTCAAAAACATGTTTCCCAGGTTCATTCAGAAGAGCGTTCAGCTGCAGGAAAAAACAACAAACCATTCATCAAACTCTGTCAAAGATTGGCATTGGAACTAAATCTATTTACAGTGTTCATTTGTATATCTTTACCGCATTATTGATAATATCCTGCAATCTCTGGTCGGTGTTGCCTCTGACATCAGAATCTGCTGGCATGCTGATGTTAATCAGGCTGAATGTAAAGACAACAGCATAGGAGGTTTCTGAGATTTCTGTTTGGAGAGAGATGTGAAATTTTTCTGGTTAAAAGATTTCCATTCATGAATCTTTGACTAAATACCGTTTACAAAGCATTTCAACCTTAAATGAAGAAACTTACTTTGATAGGTGAAATTCGCCAACTCCACTGATTCATTCAGCTGTGATTGTCTGGATGTCAGGAGAGTGTTGATAGCACTGAGGACCAGAGATTCACTGGGGACTGGAGATGAGGAGTTGAACAACAGCTTGCTTGTGACCACTGCTGAACCAGATCTGTAAAAACAAAAACTTTTGTTTAGTATATTTCACATTTGTACAATGAAATTATTGTGAGCTCTCAAAATGGAAAGTCAACACTAACGTTAGGTTTGGAGGAGCCAGCGGGGACCCAGTTGTTGATTCTGGAGACACTGTTGTAGTGATCACTTCAACAATTAAATGTAAAAACAAACAATTAGTCTTTTGTGATTTACAGAAACATTTTTTTTTTCATCTTTTAGAATGTTGTATAGCCATAGATCATCGTAATTGACATACCTATCTGTGAATGAAGCTCCTTTAGGTAGCTGACTGGTTGAATGACATCTCCATCCTGAAAGGTGTATTCCATACTGCCATTAATCTGGTTTGAAGAGCTCCTGTGGGACAAAGAGAAGATGTTAAAATCATATTGAAAATGTTTTGACTTTTTTGTGTGTTTTTAATTTCCCATTGCTTTAATAAATTAAAATGTGACAACAGATAAAATACAGTTTGCATCTTACACAAAGTTGGATGAATTGGCTCTCAATGGTAGACTGGTCGGTTCATTCAGAAGAGTGTTCAGCTGCAGGTGAAAATCAAATAATTCATTAAATTTCATTTAAGGATTTATACTAGACTCAGAAACATTGATTAATTTAATTCTGATTTCTTACTGCATTATTGATGACATCTTGCACTTGGACATAAGTGCTGTTTCTGAGCTCAGGGACTTCAGACATGCTGATGTTATTCAGTTTAAACGTAATGATGATGGCATAGGCGGTTTCTGAGATTTCTGTTTGGAAATAAAGGTATGTTCATATTTGTCCACACATTGGCAGTCTTGACTGTTTAACGTGGTTATTCTCATTTCAAATCATTTTCAATTCAATATGGTGAAACTTACTCTTATAGGTGAAATTCGCCACCTCCACTGATTCATTGAGCTGTGACTGTCTGGATGTCAGGAGAGTGTTGAGAGCACTGAGGACCAGAGTTTCACTGGGGACTGGAGATGAGGAGTTGAACAGCAGCTTGCTCGTGACCACTGCTGTTGTTTGAGTTGTTGCAATGTTTGCAGTTGTAGTAGCTCCAGATTCAGTCATTGGAGTCTCAATTGTAGTTGGGGAGGCACCAGTTGTAGACATTGACAATGAAATAGTGGTTTCTTGAGGAACAATCATGAGAGTCGATGTACTGGTTGTAGTGGTCGCTAAAGACGCTTCAATTGTATTTGGACCTGGATTCTGTGTCGCTGAAATTTGAGTGGCATTTTGTAAAGATGTTGTCACAAATGTTGTAATTTCTGATAATATTGGCATGGTTGTGGTAGTGAAAAATGTTGTTGTGGTAGCAGGTCTGGTTGTTGTCGTGAAAAGTGAAGAAGTTGAAGATATTTCTGTGGTTGGAGAAGCATTTTCTGTTGCTGGAGGTGCAGTTGTAGGTTCTGAGAATATGGGATTATTTGTGGGGGCCACAGATGTGGTTGTTGAAGCTTCAGCTGTTGAAGGTTGTGTTGTTGTTGTTGATGGAGCAGCATTTGTTGCTGTTGAAGGTGCTGCTGTAGTTGGTGAGGATATGAGTGTGGTTGTGGCTGTGGTTGTTGTAGTTTCAGTTGTTATTGTTGATGATGGTGTCCCTGTTGGAGAAGTATTTTCTGTTGCTGGAGGTGCAGTTGAAGGTTCTGGTAATACAGGCATGGTTGTTGGGTTCACAGCTGTGGTTGTTGTAGCTTCAATTGTAACTGTTGATGATGGTGTCTCTGTTGGAGAAGTATTTTCTGTTGCTGGAGGTGCAGTTGAAGATTCTGAGAATACGGGATTATTTGTGGGGGTCACAGCTGTGGTTGTTGAAGCTTCAGCTGTTGAAGGTTGTGTTGTTGTTGTTGTTGATGGAGCAGCATTTGTTGCTGTTGAAGGTGCTGCTGTAGTTGATGAGGATATGAGTGTGGTTGTGGGGGTCACATCTGTGGTTGTATAAGATTCAGTTGTTATTGTTGATGATGGTGTCCCTGTTGGAACAGTATTTTCTGTGGCTGGAGGTGCAGTTGAAGATTCTGAGAATATGGGATTATTTGTGGGGTTCACAGCTGTGGTTGTAGAAGCTTCAGCTGTTGAAGGTTGTGTTGTTGATGGAGCAGCATTTGTTGTTGTTGAAGGTGCTGCTGTAGTTGGTGAGGATATGAGTGTGGTTGTTGGGTTCACAGCTGTGGTTGTTGTAGTTTCAGTTGTTATTGTTGATGATGGTGTCTCTGTTGGAGCAGTATTGTCTGTGGCTGGAGGTGCAGTTGTTTGTTCTGGGAATACAGACATGGTTGTTGGGTTCACAGCTGTGGTTGTTGAAGCTTCAGTTGTTGAAAATTGAGCTGTTGTTGTTGATGGAGCAGCATTTGTTGCTTTAGTTGGTGAGGATGTGACTGTGGTTGGTGGTATCATTGCTGTGTTTGTAGATTCTTCCTTTGTTAATGTGGAAGCGGCTGAATCTGAGGTTGTTGAAGATTCAGTTTCTGTTGTCATTGAAGATGACACTGTGTTTGAACTAGTAACTGCTGTTAAAAGTTCTGTAGAAGCTTCAGTTGTTCTTGAAGATACCGTTGATGTTGAATCCGTAGTTGGAGAAGGTGTAGTTGTGAAAGTCACAGCTGTACATTTTTGATATGGTTTGGGTGTCATAGCTGTGGTAATGGATGCTTTAGTTTTTATTATACAAACTTCACTGGTTGTTTGGGAAACCGGTGTTGTTGGTGCAGTTGTAGTTGGGGATGATGTACCTCCACAAACGGTACACCATACACATACTGTCAAGAGAAAAGAAACAAAGATATGTCATCATTACCTTGATTTTTTAAATTTTATTTAGATTTTATTTTATTTATTTATTTATTTATTCATTTTTTGATATGGATGAATATTATTTAATAACATTATCAAATATCTATATACTACTCTTATCTATAAGAGTATACTTACATATGGTGAAAAAAACTGTCCATCTGGCATTTTTGGAAATGAAACACTCCCTAAAATAGGGGGAAAAAAACAAAAAAACATCTAGTTTATGTCTTTAAGCAATTTCAAAACATTAACATTCAAAGAGCTTCATGAGTTAAGTGCTATATTGTTTATGTTGCAGAATTAGCGATCTTTAAATAATTCACCTTTGTAGTAATAAATCTATGTAGTAAACTTTCCTTTAGAGAAGATTTAAAAAATTGTCAGATTTTCAGTAGTCTCAGCCTCAGACGTCACGCCCACGGAACGTTGGCTAGCTGTCAGTCTGAAGGTATATATGGCTACACGAGACTAGGTTTTCAGAGAAACTGAAACACTTTAATTTTTTTTTTTTTTATTCTGTCACAAACACAGTAGATCTGAAAAGGTTTAAACTGAGGCATCAATGACAAACATACTTTTATCATTCTAAAAAGCCAGGTCGAACTACATGGATCACTTTTCAAAGCACTTTTGTATTTTTTGTATGCTTATTTCTCAAAATGTCCACCTATGGTGAAATATTTATCATGACATATTTGCATGTCATTGTCTGAAGCAGCTCATTTGGGATTTGGAATGTATACAGTTATATTGGTTCTCATTCCCTGGCAATCAAACTCATGGTCTTGTTATCAAGTTATATTGTTTGTGCTACAGGAATGCACAGAGCTTTCAAACAAACATTGAAACAGATTAAGTGTGAATTACAGACAATAAGACATAAGGCACTGCAGTGCCATCCCAATCCGCATTACATTAATACTTGGTAGATATCAAGCACGTCACAATGTAACTGTATAAGTAAATAGTCATTATTCAGAAGAGCTAAGCTTTGAATTAGTCACACAACTCTCATTTGTCAAATTTAGAATGAAAGCTGTTCCCAATTAACACAGAGAAAATGAATGATGAAAAAAGTGATTTGTTTAATTTTCTATAGACTAATCAGGTCATGACGCAAATTATACATTTGATGTGTATTCATGGGCTTTCTATGACCATCACATGCTAATGTTATTGAAGTCCATTGGTTTTTCTATTTGTCATTTTAGGTTTCGAAAGGCTGCCCATGTGCGCCCTCTTTTGATAACCAAATAATTTATATGGCCTCAATACACACTTCTGCCAAATACAGTGGACTATACCCAACAACCTACAGTATATGCCAAATGTTACAAATACCACTGCATCGCATTTGTTGGACTTTAGTTAACTTCAGGAGAATAGCTTATTTAGGGCTAATAGGGTTGGCTGCCTCTGCTTGTTGACGTTGACGACTAGTTGACGACTAGTGGTGTATGCTTCTTTTGTTTGTTCGGTTTGGACTTCTTTCAACATGTTTGTTGCTTAACATAAAACATATGCTGCTGCTGCTTGTTGCTACCTGTTGTCTGTTTCCTGCATCTTGTATTTTATCTCAATGAATGAATGAAATGACTCGAAAAAAAGATTTATTCATTTTGACGAACAAGTTCGAACAGGAGAGTCGTGAACGCGCATCACAGAACAGAGCAAGGTGAGCATTTATGCTTATAAAACTTAAACTTTTTTATCTATTTTTGAAATGACCGATCGTTTTTCTACATAAGACCCTTATTCATCATCTGAGTGCAATTTAAATCAATTTGAAGCTGCACTGAAACTGTCATTTGGACCATGAAACTCTTGGAGTCCATTGAAGTCCATTATATGAAGAAAAATCCTGTAATGTTTTCATCAAAAACCTTAATTTCTTTTCGACTGAAGAAAGAAAGACATGGACATCTTGGATGACATGGGGTGAGTACATTATCAGAATGTTTTTTTTTTTTTTTTTAAAGTGAACTAATCATTTAACTATTGATCTATTTATTATTATTTATTTAGTTAGGCCTACTTGCACAGCCGATCCTTACTATACGCACACTACAAGTTGAGTAGGCCCCGCAAATAATTAAAGTCCAAAGGTCAAAGCGTGTCAATCAAAGTTTACAATATCGATGAGATAATTAAGCGGAACTATCCTTCTGGTCACGAAAAGAGAGACAATGGGGACCAGGCCTATATGGGTGGTATGGCACTCAGTTTTAGACTCAATAATGTGCTTTGCAATGCCTGAAATGTAGTCTGAAGTTCCTGTACTGCTGCTAAAATCGTGGAAGCCTGGGTGTAAACCACTGTATCATCAGCATATAAATGTAATTTGGCTTGAACATCTCTATCCAAATCATTTAGAAAAATTGAAAACAAAACCGGTCCTAAGATTGATCCTTGAGGGACACCTTTGGTTATCTCAAGAAAATCAGATTTATAACCTTCAGCGTAAACACATTGAGTACGATCTACAAAATAATTTTGGAACCATGCAACAGTCTTCTCACTTAAACCAACTGAACGTAATTTTGTCAATAACAATTTATGATCAACTGAATCAAATGGCTTAGAAAGATCAACAAATAATGCAGCAGCAGCGTGTTGCTTCTTATCTAAGGCCCCAATAATATCATTTATCACTAATGTAGCAGCAGTGATAGTGCTATGGCCACTTCTGAACCCTATTTAAGTCCCAATTCATATCACCCATAAAAAATAAATTCAGAGTCATTAATATTAGGCCTATGTAATATTTTGCATAGAGTTTGGAAAGCATCCTTTGAAGCAGACGGAGATCTATAGCACCCAACTACTGTAATAGCAGCGTCTTTTGAGATATTCACTTTCACAGTCAGAATTTCAAACTGTTTAGCTTTAGTTAGTGACAGGGCTACAGAGCTTATAAACTTAAATTTCACATAAATGGCAACCCCACCTCCTTTGCCAACCCGATCTGTTCTATAAACTTTAAAACCTTCAATAGAAATACGTTCATCAGACACAGATTTTTAAAGCCAGGATTCAGAGATAATAATGAAATCAGCATTCCTTGTATTAGCCCACATCTTAATATCAATTTTAGGGACAAGGCTTCAAATGTTTAAATGTATAAAACCAAGGCCATGTCTGCTTTTGAATTCTGAAGGAGTGGCTAAGAATTGTAAAGTGTTAGGAAGACCAGGAACAAGAACGCATTCTCGGGCTGGGAACAAATAATAACCATCACCCATCTCGATTATTGCTTTTATCATTTAAAACACACAGTGGCATGTAATGACAAGCCATTTTAGCTTTTAGTAATT